TACTCCACTACTTATTTTTCTGACCACTTTTGACTTTCTACTTCTTACATGTTGAACCCAAATACCTGTACTTTCTACTTCTTACATGTTGAACTCAAATACCTGTACTTTTCTACTTCTTTATAGTTGAACTCAAATACCTGTACTTTCTACTTCTTACATGTTGAACACAAATACCTGTACTTTCTACTTCTTACATGTTGAACTCAAATACCTGTACTTTCTACTTCTTACATGTTGAACTCAAATACCGGTACTTTCTACTTCTTACATGTTGAACCCAAAATACCTGTACTTTCTACTTCTCAACATGTTGAACTCAAATACCTGTACTTCTACTTCTTACATGTGAACCCAAATACCTGTACTTTCTACTTCTTACATGTTGAACACAAATACCTGTACTTTCTACTTCTTACATGTTGACACAAATACCTGCTTACTTTCTACTTCTTACATGTTGAACACAAATACCTCTACTTTCTACTTCTTACATGTTGAACACAAATACCATGTACTTTCTACTTCTTACATGTTGAACTCAAATACCTGTACTTTCTACTTCTTACATGTTGAACTCAAATACCTGTACTTTCTACTTCTTACATGTTGAACACAAATACCTGTACTTTCTACTTCTTACATGTTGAACTCAAATCACCTGTACTTTCTACTTCTTACATGTTGAACCCAAATACCTGTACTTTCTACTTCTTACATGTTGAACACAAATACCTGTACTTTCTACTTCTCACATGTTGAACTCAAATACCTGTACTTTCTACTTCTTACATGTTGAACACAAATACCTGTACTTTCTACTTCTTACATGTTGAACTCAAATACCTGTACTTTCTACTTCTTACATGTTGAACTCAAATACCTGTACTTCTCTACTTCTTACATGTTGAACCCAAATACCTGTACTTTCTACTTCTTACATGTTGAACACAAATACCTGTACTTTCTACTTCTTACATGTTGAACTCAAATACCTGTACTTTCTACTTCTTACATGTTGAACACAAATACCTGTACTTTCTACTTCTTACATGTTGAACACAAATACCTGTACTTTCTACTTCTCACATGTTGAACTCAAATACCTGTACTTTCTACTTCTTACATGTTGAACTCAAATACCTGTACTTTCTACTTCTTACATGTTGAACTCAAATACCTGTACTTTCTACTTCTTACATGTTGAACTCAAATACCTGTACTTTCTACTTCTTACATGTTGAACTCAAATACCTGTACTTTTCTACTTCTTACATGTTGAACCCAAATACCTGTACTTTCTACTTCTCACATGTTGAGGTCAGGTACTCTTTAAAGCAGCTGCTAGTTATGGGTACTTTTTACTGAAGTGCACTTCAAAGCCTCTTTGCTTTGACTTGAGTAAAGAAGTTTAGTCAGTACTTCTACTTTCACCAGAGTATTTTTAAACACGAGTATCTGTACTTCTACTTGAGTAAAGGATGTGTGTACTTGTGCCTTCTCTGATTATATGAATTGTGTGTGTGTGTGTGTGTGTGTGTGTGTGGGGGTGCGTGGTGTGTGATGTGCGCGCGTGCTGTGTGTTTGTGTGTGTAGGTGTCGGTGCTTCAGGCCCAGGTGGATCAGTCCAGACGGAGTGTGACGGAGTTGAAGCGTCCATGGCCCGCCGCGTGACCTCTGACCTCCAGACGCTCGAGTGCTGACCGACAGTCTTCAGGGTCGCATGCACGAGCTGGAACCGCAAGCAGAGGAGGTGTGTGTGTGTGTGTGTGGTGTGTGTGTGTGTGTGTGTGTGTGTGTGTGTGTGTGTGTGTGTTGTGTGTGTTGTGTGCGCGTGCGTGCGTTCTTTTCGGAAATTGTTGGCTATTTATGGTTGCTACGTTAAATGCATGACTTTTACTTTTATATTAAAAGTATTTTTTAAGATTAAATTAAAGATTTGTTCTGAAGCGTTTAAATTTTTGGTGTGGTATGTGGTATGTGTGTGTGTAGTGTGTGGTCGTGTGTGTGTGTGGTGTGTGTGTGTGTAGTGTGTGTGTGTGTAGTGTGTGTGTGTGTGTGTGTGTGGGGGTGTGTGAGGGCGTGGAGTGCGTGCGTGGAGTGCGTGCGTTAGTGAGTGAGCGACGCGAGCGCGTGCGGTGTTGTGTGGTGTGTGTGTGTGTGTGTGTGTGTGTGTGTGTGTGGTGTGTGTGTGGTGTGTGTGTGTGTGTGTGTGTGTGTGTGTGTGTGTGTGTGTGCAGGTTTGACAGTGAGCTGACTCAGGCTCTGGAGGCTGCAGATTCTGAGCGAGATCAGAAGGACAGAGCGTTTCTGGAGAACACGGCGTTAGCAGCGGAGATTTACACACTGCGACGCAACCTGCAGGTGTGTGTGTGTGTGTTGTGTGTGTGTGTTGTGTGTGTGTGTGTGTGTGTGTTTGCATAAAAACCTCCTGCAGTGCATTAGTGTTAATGACGTATTGACACAAACACAAAGAAAGGATGATGAAATTGTGCGCTTTAAGGTGAAATATCAACGGGCCTCAGTCATCACTTTAACCTGAGAGAGAGCACAAAATCTATGGAGGGAATTACAGACGCCACGTTTGATTCATGCGCCGCTGTCACACCGGGGAAACATACACATTACATCGTAGATTAACGAGAAACAGACGGAGAAAACATGAAGTCTGACTTAACCAAACCTGCAGCAAGAAGTCATCAAATGGAAGACATGCAGAGACGAGGAGAGCAAACACAATGATCTCACATTTAAGAAAGATGAAATCATTAACATACAGATAAAACAAAAAAGATCAGGTCAAGTTAACATAAAGTTAACAAGCAGGCAAAGAAAATTAGTAAAATATGTGAAATAAAAGAATAAAACATCATTTTGACTCGTTCTTCAATAAACTTTAAACTCAGGTTGGTTATAAATGTTAAAGAGGCGTTATAATGCTTTTTGGACTCCTTTGTTGTGATAGGCTAAGGGGCGGGACATCTCTAAGCGGTTGGCCAATCACAACAGAGTTAATAAAATAAATACCACTATAATGTCAAATAAGAACATTGGTAAATCTCCAAAATCTGTAAATACATTCCTCATGTTTTAACTCTTGTTTTTGAGTCTCTGAGCTCTCGGATGAACACAGTTGTTGCTTGAAGAGCATCAGCAGAATAAAATAAATACCACTTCACTATAATGTCAGATTAAAAAAAGAGTAAATCAATAACATAAAGAGGAACCAAACAAAACAAAAGCAAGTGCAGGGAGAGAAACATAACTTAATGTTTTTGCCCCAACATTATAGTGTTTTTTGAGTTATATTCCTCATGTTTTAACTTCATTTATCCTTGAGACGTTTAGTGTATTTGCTCAAACACATGATAGGCTAAGGGGGCGGGACTTCTCTAAGCGGTTGACCAATCACAATAGAGCTACAAAATAATGTCGTATAGGAAAAGAGGTAAATCATTGAAGGTCCCGTGTCATGGCCATTTCTACTGATCATAGTTCCATTGTTGAGGTCGACTAGAATAGATTCACATTGTTCAATGTTCCAAACTCTCATTGGTTTCTCACAGCATCTCTGTATAGTCTGTGTATTCACTCTCTGTCCTACACGGCTTGTTGGAGCTCCTGCCCCCCCCCCCTCGCTGTGAGCCCAGTGGCCGTCTGCGAGACACAGCGAAACCCAGCCTGAAACACACACACACCCGCAGCCTGGCTGGGAGTTTGTGTGCGTGCCCAGGCTGAGTTCTCGCCGACCCCACACCAGTGAGCCGGCTCGCTAAGTCCCGCCGAGTGTGCGTGTGTGAGGAAGTCCGCGGATTGGTCCAAACGTAACGGCTCCGCGGACGTAACGTAACGGCAAATGGACCAATCCGCGGAGCCGTTACGTTACGTCACTGTACCCGAAATACGTCACTATACCCAAGAAGTAAAAAATGGAAAAAGAGAAATCTCCAACGAGGCGTTCTGGGGCAGCATAGAGAGGTCTTCTCTGTGTTACGGCCCGTCCACACAGCGGCGTGCGTTGAAGCTTGCCGGCGGGCGTGTCTGAAACTCGACCAACAACCAATCACATGAATCTCCCGCCCCGGACACACAAGCAGCGGTTTGATTGGCTAGAGCTTGTACTGGCATATGATTTGATTGGCTGACGCTTCCACCGAGGCTTCAAAAGTTGAACATTGCTCAACTTTTGCAGCGAGCCACGCCAGCAAAGCTCCGCGTCGCTTCCCACAATGCAATTCGGCGAAAAGTGACATCACCCCATTCAAAGTGAATGGTGAAGCTTTCAACGCACGCCGCTGTGTGGACGGGCCGTAAGAGTTTTACTCGCTACAGGGTGTACTTTACCTGCACCGTTTACATGCAGAGAAACCTTCATCACACAAGGGGACGGGTAAGAACCGGAAAAGCATGACATGGGACCTTTAAGATAAAGAAGAACCAAACAAAACTAAAGCAACAACATTCAGCTCCATAATGCATACATAATGTTTTTTGTGTGATATATAAACCTTGCCCTCTGAGCCCTCGGATGAACTCAGTTGTTGTGTATCGTGTGTGTTCAGGAGAGCCAGGCTGAGGTTCTCCGGCTGCAGAAGCAGAAAGAGGAACTCTGCGCTCAGATCCGGGACCTCAGCCTCCCGGTGGATCTGGCCTCTGATTCGCTGCCCGACCTCAAGAAGCAACAGCGCCTCCTGGAGGCCGAAGTGAGCGAGAAGAGGGAGGAGATCTGCACGCTTTCTGCCAAGATACAGAAGCAGCAACAGGTACAAAGAACATTGAGGGGGATGCAACATTTACTCAAGTTCTGTACCGTTCAGTAAAAGGTTGATGATAAAAAATATATGATTCTGATAAGGGCTATTCTGCACAATGAGTACTTTTACTTTGACCTTGAGTACTTTAGATATATGTATATTTTAGTAATGCTTACTTCAACGACTTCTTCCCCTCTTCTCTCCCAGGTCCACATGCGCTTTGAGATGGAGATGGAGAGGATGAAGCAGATGCATCAGAAGGAGTTGGAGGATAAAGAGGAAGAGTTGGAGGACGTGCACAAGTCTTCTCAGAGAAGGGTACGTTAACACGGTACAAGTATTAACGGCACCGTTAGAAAGAAGTTACAAATTCAGACAAAAGGGCACAATTCAGAAACAAAGTAAAGATTACAAAAATAATACTGGATTCTGAAGAACATGACACATTTCGAAAAAAGTCATAATAAATTGTAATTCTGAAAAACTTGAAAAAAAGTCGTGATTCTGAAAAAAGACCGAGAACTGAAACAAAATGGAAATTCTGAAAAAGAATGGTTGCTGAAAAAGAGTACAAATAGAAATCTGAACTTTGAAAGAAAGTCAAAAATCTGGCAAATTCTGAAAAAAAGTCAGAATTCACAAATAAAATAATATATTGAAAAACTAAAAAAAACTAAAAACAAAACTTTATCTGTTTCTTGCAGAGAAACAACAATAGAAAGAAACAGAAAGTGGACCTTTGTGTTGAGATCATTTGGCAGAGTTATAATTCGTTTGGGAACTCAGTATTGAAACCTTGATAAATGCTTTTAAAATTGCCTCTTTTGTCGTTAAAATAGTACAAAATATTCTATTGAAAGCATCAATCCTTTTCTTCCTCTGAACTGAGCCCTTTTGTTTTGTGCAGACGGCTCTTTGTAAACGTCCTTCCTCGCCTGAAAGGAATCAGACTCTTTTCATTAAGTCTGTGTTTTTCTTTCATAATGTTACGCAACCACATAATAATAATATATTTAATTAATACAGCGCTTTTTAAGATACACAAAGAAGCTTTATGAAAATCACAAATTGCTCAGATGGAAGTTACATCACTTCTCTGCAGTTACAGCGACAAACACACACACCATACACACACACACACACACACACACAACAGCACACAGCACATCAACACATACACACACACAACACATACACACACATACACACTAAACGACAGCATCATACACACACATACACACAAACACTCACACACAATACAATACACAACACACACACACACAGCGACACACATATCACACACATACACACAAACACGGCACACACGATACACCATACACACACAACACACATACACACACATACACACACACACGTCAAGCACACACATACATAACAAACATCACACCACACAAACAAACCACACACAGAACACACACCAAACACAACACGACAAACACAACAACAACACACACTCACAAACACACATACACAAACACACATACCACACACACATGCTGGTGTTTACACACAAATTATGATGTTTTTATGTGTATCATTATGCAAGGGAACACTTCAAGGCCAATAAATGCCAATTCAGACCCTCCATCCATTTATTATATTGTGGTGTGTGGTGTGTGTGTGTGTGTGTGTTTGTGTGTGTGTGTGTGTGTGTGTGTGTGTGTGTGTGTGTGTGTGTGTGTGTGTGTGTGTGTGTGTGTGTGTGTGTGTGTGTGTGTGTGTGTGTGTGTGTGTGTGTGTGTGTGTGTGTGTGTGTGTGTGTGTGTGTGTGGTGTGTGTGTGTGTGTGTGTTGTGTGTGTATAGCTGAGGCAGTTGGAGATGCAGTTGGAGCAGGAGTACGAGGAGAAGCAGATGGTGATTCATGAGAAGCATGACTTGGAGGGACTCATAGCGACTCTGTGTGACCAGGTATCCCATCGTACATTGTATTTATTATTATAGTGAGTAATGTTTAGTGGATAAATGTAATTCTTACATTACAGGCAACATACAACAAGCATGTTCTGCAAAGAGGTGGCAGATCATTTAGTGTTGTCCTTGTTTTGAAAGGTTTACGGAGGAGGATTTCATTCAGAACATTTTTTGGGATGAATCTCCAAAAAACAAGACAGAGTTTAGGCTATTTTGCTTCCATAACATAGGTCCTTTCAGACTAGTTGAAATAAAACATACATAAGCTAAAGGCGGCTAATGTTGGGCTATAAAGGAGCTACAGCACGGTCACACGACTTCACGTCACCACCGCTAAGCTAAAGGCGGCTAATGTTGGGCTATAAAGGAACTACAGCACGGTCACATGACTTCACTTCATCACCGCTAAGCTAAAGGAGCCTAATGTTGGGCTATCAAGGAACTACAGCACGGTCACATGACTTCACGTCACCACCGCTAAGCTAAAGGTGCCTAATGTTGGGCTATAAAGGAACTACAGCATGGTCACATGACTTCACGTCACCACCGCTAAGCTAAAGGTGCCTAATGTTGGGCTATAAAGGAACTACAGCATGGTCACATGACTTCACGTCACCACCGCTAAGCTAAAGGAGCCTAATGTTGGGCTATCAAGGAACTACAGCACGGTCACATGACTTCACGTCACCACCGCTAAGCTAAAGGTGCCTAATGTTGGGCTATAAAGGAACTACAGCATGGTCACATGACTTCACGTCACCACCGCTAAGCTAAAGGAGGCTAATGTTGGGCTATAAAGAAACTACAGCACGGTCACATGACTTCACGTCACCACCGCTAAGCTAAAGGTGGTGCCTAATGTTGGGCTATAAAGGAACTACAGCATGGTCACATGACTTCACGTCACCACCGCTAAGCTAAAGGCAGCTAATGTTGGGCTATAAAGGTTCTACAGCATGGTCACATGACTTCACGTCACCACCGCTAAGCTAAATGCAGCTAATGTTGGGCTATAAAGGTTCTACAGCACGGTCACATGACTTCACGTCACCACAGCTAAGCTAAATGCAGCTAACGTTGGGCTATAAAGGAACTACAGCATGGTCACATGACTTCACGTCACCACCGCTAAGCTAAAGGTGCCTAATGTTGGGCTATAAAGGAACTACAGCACGGTCACATGACTTCACATCACCACCGCTAAGCTAAAGGCAGCTAATGTTGGGCTATAAAGGTTCTACAGCACGGTCACATGACTTCACGTCACCACAGCTAAGCTAAATGCAGCTAACGTTGGGCTTGATGACATTTAGTCGTCGCATTAAGACACTGCTGTTTTTAAATCCACCAGTTGGGTATTTACTGATGTATTTTATGTCGGAGAACGAAACATTAAAAACAACAGACCTTATTTCAGGATAATAACCTGGGTTTTAGGACTCATTCCTGCACATCTTTCCCTGCAGGTGGGGCACAGGGACTTCGATGTGGAGAAGAAGTTGAGGCGGGATCTGAAGAGGACCCACGCTCTGCTGGCCGACGCTCAGCTGCTCCTCTCCACCGTGGATAACCCGGGTCAGAACTTCTCCAACGGCAGCAGAGAGAACATAGAGAGGCTGCACTGCCAGGTAACCTCACCTGAACACTCACCTGAACACTCACCTGAACACTCACCTGAACAAAACTAATTCTGAAAAAAGTAAAACAAATACAATTCCTGAAAAATGAAAACACATTTTGAAGAAAAGTCAACAATCTGAAAATAATCGGGATTCTAATGAACATGAAAACATTCTGAAACAAGTCATAATGAAAAATGTAATTCTGAAAAAGAAGTCGGGTTCTTGAAAAAGTCTGAGTACAAAAAATGAAATGCTGAAAAATGTCAAAATCAAAACTAAATAATGTCAAAATTCTGAAAAATTATTATTAAAAATTTATAATTTATTTTGCAAAAATTCGAAAAATATATCAAAATTCAAACACTCACCTGAACACTCACCTGAACACTCATCTGAACACTCACCTGATCACTCATCTGAACACTCACCTGATCACTCATCTGAACACTCACCTGAACACTCACCTGAGCACTCACCTGAGCACTCACCTGAGCACTCACCTGAGCACTCACCTGAGCACTCACCTGAACACTCAACTGTACACTCACCTGTACACTCACCAGTACACTCACCAGTACACTCATCTGAACACTCACCTGAACACTCACCATTACACTCACCATAACACTCACCTGAACACTCACCTGAACACTCACCAGTACACTCACCTGAGCACTCACCTGAGCACTCACCTGAACACTCACCTGAACACTCACCTGAACACTCACCTGAACACTCACCTGATCACTCACCTGAACACTCACCTGAACACTCACCAGTACACTCACCTGAACACTCACCTGAACACTCACCTGAACACTCACCATTACACTCACCTGAACACTCACCATTACACTCACCTGAACACTCACCAGTACACTCACCTGAGCACTCACCTGAACACTCACCTGAACACTCACCTGAACACTCACCATTACACTCACCTGAACACTCACCAGTACACTCACCATTACACTCACCTGAACACTCACCATTACACTCACCTGAACACTCACCAGTACACTCACCTGAGCACTCACCTGTGCACTCACCTGAACACTCACCTGAACACTCACCAGTACACTCACCTGAGCACTCACCTGTGTACTCACCTGAGCACTCACCTGTGTACTCACCTGAACACTCACCTGTACACTCACCTGAACACTCACCAGTACACTCACCAGTACACTCACCAGTACACTCACCTGAACACTCACCAGTACACTCACCTGAACACTCACCTGAACACTCACCAGTACACTCACCTGTAAACTCATTTGTACCCTCACCTGAACACTCACCTGAACACTCACCAGTACACTCACCTGAGCACTCACCTGAGCACTCACCTGAACACTCACCTGAACACTCACCATTACACTCACCTGAACACTCACCAGTACACTCACCATTACACTCACCTGAACACTCACCATTACACTCACCTGAACACTCACCAGTACACTCACCTGAGCACTCACCTGTGCACTCACCTGAACACTCACCAGTACACTCACCTGAGCACTCACCTGTGTACTCACCTAAACACTCACCAGTACACTCACCTGAACACTCACCAGTACACTCACCTGAACACTCACCTGAACACTCATCTGTGCACTCACCTGAACACTCACCAGTACACTCACCTGTACACTCACCAGTACACTCACCTGTGCACTCACCTGTACACTCATCTGAACACTCACCAGTACACTCACCTGAACACTCACCTGCACACTCACCTGCACACTCAACACTCACACTGAATAATCCCCTAAACACTCACCTGAAGACTGAACACTCACCTGAACACTCACCTGAACACTCACCTGAACACTCACCTAAACACTCACCTGAAGACTGAACACTCACCTGAACACTCACCTGAACACTCACCTAAACACTCACCTGAACACTCACCCAAACACTCACCTGAAGACTCACCTGAACACTCACCTGAACACTCACCTGAAGACTCACCTGAAGACTGAACACTCACCCAAACACTCACCTGAAGACTGAACACTCACCTGAACACTCACCTGAACACTTACCTGAACACTCACATGTACACTCACCTGAACACTCATTGTATCTATTATTATTATGATTGTTCAGCTGGAGGCGAGCGAGGCGGTGCGTCTGGAGGCAGAAAGTCTGCAGACGACTTTATCTCAGGAGCTGGAGAACTGTCAGATCGAGCTGGAGAACATTTGCAAACAGAAGAGCATGGTGAGCACTTCCTGTCTGTCTTCTTCTGCTGTTCCCTGTAGTGTTTACTTCCTGTCTGTCTTCTGCTGTTCCCTGTAGTGTTTACTTCCTGTCTTCTTCTGCTGTTCCCTTTAGTGTTTACTTCCTGTCTCTCTTCTTCTGCTGTTCTCTTTAGTGTTTACTTCCTGTCTGTCTTCTTCTGCTGTTCCCTTAAGTGTTTACTTCCTGTCTGTCTTCTTCTGCTGTTCCCTTAAGTGTTTACTTCCTGTCTGTCTTCTTCTGCTGTTCCCTGTAGTGTTTACTTCCTGTCTTCTTCTGCTGTTCCCTTTAGTGTTTACTTCCGGTATGTCTTCTTCTGCTGTTCCCTTTAGTGTTTACTTCCTGTCTGCTTCTTCTGCTGTTCCCTTTAGTGTTTACTTCCTGTATTCTTCTGCTGTTCCGTTTAGTGTTTACTTCCTGTCTTCTTCTGCTGTTCCCTTTAGTGTTTACTTCCTGTCTGTCTTCTTCTTCTGCTGTTCCCTTAAGTGTTTACTTCCTGTCTGTCTTCTTCTGCTGTTCCCTTTAGCGTTTACTTCCTGTCTTCATTACATTGCATTTAGCTGACGCTTTTATCCAAAGCGACTTACAATAAGTACATTCGACCAGGAAGACACAACCTTGAAGAAAACAGAATCATAAAGTACATCAGGTTTCATAGAGCCAAACATTTCAAGTGCTACTCAACTGGCTTTAGATAATCCAGTCCTTTATTAGTATAAAAGTGCTTCGTTAATAGTTCTAACGCTCGAAGTGGAGTCGAAAGAGATGAGTTTTCAGTTTGCGCCGGAAGATGTGCAAGCTCTCTGCCGTCCTGATGTCAATGGGGAGCTCATTCCACCATCTTCTTCTGCTGTTCCCTTAAGTGTTTACTTCCTGCCTTCTTCTGCTGTTCCCTTTAGTGTTTACTTCTTGTCTGTCTTCTTCTGCTGTTCCCTTTAGTGTTTACTTCCTGTCTGTCTTCTTCTGCTGTTCCCTTTAGTGTTTACTTCCTGTCGTCTTCTGCTGTTCCCTTAAGTGTTTACTTCCTGTCTTCTTCGGCTGTTCCCTTTAGTGTTTACTTCCTGTCTTCTTCTTCTGCTGTTCCCTTTAGTGTTTACTTCCTGTCTGTCTTCTTTTTCTGCTGTTCCCTTAAGTGTTTACTTCCTGTCTGTCTTCTTCTGCTATTCCCTTTAGTGTTTACTTCCTGTCTTCTTCTGTTGTTCCCTTAAGTGTTTACTTCCTGTCTTCTTCTGCTGTTCCCTTTAGTGTTCACTTCTGGTCTGTCTTCGACTGCTGTTCCCTTTAGTGTTTACTTCCTGTCTGTCTTCTTCTGCTGTTCCCTTTAGTGTTTACTTCCTGTCTGTCTTCTTCTGCTGTTCCCTTTAGTGTTTACTTCCTGTCTGTCTTCTTCTGCTGTTCCCTTTAGTGTTTACTTCCGGTATGTCTTCTTCTGCTGTTCCCTTTAGTGTTTACTTCCTGTCTGTCTTCTTCTTCTGCTGTTCCCTTTAGTGTTTACTTCCTGTCTGTCTTATTCTTCTGCTGTTCCCTTTAGTGTTTACTTCCTGTCTTCTCCTGTTGTTCCGTTTAGTGTTTACTTCCTGTCTTCTTCTGCTGTTCCGTTTAGTGTTTACTTCCTGTCTTCTTCTGCTGTTCCCTTTAGTGTTTACTTCCTGTCTGTCTTCTTCTTCTGCTGTTCCCTTAAGTGTTTACTTCCTGTCTGTCTTCTTCTGCTGTTCCCTTTAGCGTTTACTTCCTGTCTTCTTCTGCTATTCCCTTAAGTGTTTACTTCCTGTCTGTCTTCTTCTGCTGTTCCCTTTAGCGTTTACTTCCTGTCTTCTTCTGCTGTTCCCTTTAGTGTTTACTTCCTGTCTTCTTCTGCTGTTCCCTTTAGTGTTTACTTCCGGTCTGTCTTCTTCTGCTGTTGCCTTTAGTGTTTACTTCCTGTATGTCTTCTTCTACTGTTCCCTTTAGTGGTAGCCATCATCTCCACAAATATAATATGAATATTCCAAAGGTTTTCCAATGGATGAAAACTAGAAATGTAATAAGTGTTGATAATGACCTCTCCTCCTCCTCCTCCTCCTCCTCCCTCCTCCCTCCTCCTCCTCCTCCTCCTCCTCCTCCTCCTCCTCCTCCTCCTCCTCCTCCTCCTCCTCCTCCTCCTCCTCCTCCTCCTCCTCCTCCTCCTCCTCCTCCTCCTCCTCCTCCTCCTCCTCTTCTCCCTGTTTCCAGGTGGATGAACAGTTGTCTATACTCCAGCACGAGAAGGTGGACTTGCTGAAGAGACTGGAGGAAGACCAGGAGGATCTGAACGAGTTGATGAAGAAGCACAAAGCTATGATCGCTCAGGTACCGCTCACTTCCTGTCTCTCTTTGCTTTACATCAGTCACTTCCTGTCTCTCTTTGCTTTACATCAGTCACTTCCTGTCTCTCTTTGCTTTACATCAGTCACTTCCTGTCTCTCTTTGCTTTACATCAGCCACTTCCTGTCTCTCTTTTCTACACATCAGTCACTTCCTGTCTCTCTTTGCTTTACTTCAGTCACTTCCTGTCTCTTTTTGCTTTACATCAGTCACTTCCTGTCTCTCTTTTCGTTACATCAGTCACTTCCTGTCTCTCTTTGCTTTACATCAGTCACTTCCTGTTGTAATCCTGATCTTTAATCTGAGCTCCACTCTGCTTCAGTCCTCCAGCGATATCTCTCAGATCAGAGAGCTGCAGGCGGAGCTGGAGGAGGTGAAGAAGGAGAGATACGTCCTGCAGGAGGAGGTGAGCAGCATGGAGGATAAGAGCTTTATGTGCAGAGATGGAAGAAGTACACACCTCCTTTCCTCAAGTAGAAGTACAGATACTCGTGTTTAAAAATACTCTGGTGAAAAGTAGAAGTACTGACTAAACTTCTTTATCAAGTGAAAGTCAAGAGGCTTTTAAATGTACTTCAGTAAAAAGTACCCATAGCTAGCAGCTGTTTTAAAGAGTACCTGACCTCCCTTTATATTAATAGAACAATAATGTCATTGTTAGCTAATGAATGTTTCCATGCTGAACAACGGCAACATGACAACGTTTCCATTGGTCCCTCTTCTTTAGAGAAGACCAGGAAATGATGGATACACGGATCGTGTTCAAATCAATAGGCACGCAATGACTCTAAAGAATAATGATCACGCATCAAACACACATTCAGACTAAAGGAACCAGCTGTTTGGAAAATGAGAGAAGTAGAAAGTACAAGTATTTGAGTTCAACATGTAAGAAGTAGAAAGTACAGGTATTTGAGTTCAACATGTAAGAAGTAGAAAGTACAGGTATTTGAGTTCAACATGTGAGAAGTAGAAAGTACAGGTATTTGAGTTCAACATGTAAGAAGTAGAAAGTACAGGTATTTGAGTTCAACATGTAAGAAGTAGAAAGTACAGGTATTTGAGTTCAACATGTGAGAAGTAGAAAGTACAGGTATTTGAGTTCAACATGTGAGAAGTAGAAAGTACAGGTATTTGTGTTCAACATGTAAGAAGTAGAAAGTACAGGTATTTGAGTTCAACATGTAAGAAGTAGAAAGTACAGGTATTTGAGTTCAACATGTAAGAAGTAGAAAGTACAGGTATTTGAGTTCAACATGTGAGAAGTAGAAAGTTCAGGTATTTGGGTTCAACATGTAAGAAGTAGAAAGTACAGGTATTTGAGTTCAACATGTAAGAAGTAGAAAGTACAGGTATTTGAGTTCAACATGTAAGAAGTAGAAAGTACAGGTATTTGAGTTCAAGATGTAAGAAGTAGAAAGTACAGGTATTTGAGTTCAACATGTAAGAAGTAGAAAGTACAGGTATTTGAGTTCAACATGTAAGAAGTAGAAAGTACAGGTATTTGAGTTCAACATGTAAGAAGTAGAAAGTACAGGTATTTGGGTTCAACATGTAAGAAGTAGAAAGTACAGGTATTTGAGTTCAACATGTAAGAAGTAGAAAGTACAGGTATTTGTGTTCAACATGTGAGAAGTAGAAAGTACAGGTATTTGAGTTCAACATGTGAGAAGTAGAAAGTACAGGTATTTGAGTTCAACATGTGAGAAGTAGAAAGTACAGGTATTTGAGTTCAACATGTGAGAAGTAGAAAGTACAGGTATTTGAGTTCAACATGTGAGAAGTAGAAAGTACAGGTATTTGAGTTCAACATGTAAGAAGTAGAAAGTACAGGTATTTGAGTTCAACATGTAAGAAGTAGAAAGTACAGGTATTTGAGTTCAAGATGTAAGAAGTAGAAAGTACAGGTATTTGAGTTCAACATGTAAGAAGTAGAAAGTACATGTATTTGAGTTCAACATGTAAGAAGTAGAAAGTACAGGTATTTGAGTTCAACATGTAAGAAGTAGAAAGTACAGGTATTTGGGTTCAACATGTGAGAAGTAGAAAGTACAGGTATTTGAGTTCAACATGTAAGAAGTAGAAAGTACAGGTATTTGTGTTCAAGATGTAAGAAGTAGAAAGTACAGGTATTTGAGTTCAACATGTAAGAAGTAGAAAGTACAGGTATTTGAGTTCAAGATGTAAGAAGTAGAAAGTACAGGTATTTGAGTTCAACATGTAAGAAGTAGAAAGTACAGGTATTTGTGTTCAACATGTAAGAAGTAGAAAGTACAGGTATTTGAGTTCAACATGTAAGAAGTAGAAAGTACAGGTATTTGAGTTCAACATGTAAGAAGTAGAAAGTCCAGGTATTTGAGTTCAACATGTAAGAAGTAGAAAGTACAGGTATTTGAGTTCAACATGTGAGAAGTAGAAAGTCCAGGTATTTGAGTTCAACATGTAAGAAGTAGAAAGTCCAGGTATTTGAGTTCAACATGTAAGAAGTAGAAAGTTCAGGTATTTGAGTTCAACATGTGAGAAGTAGAAAGTTCAGGTATTTGAGTTCAACATGTAAGAAGTAGAAAGTACAGGTATTTGTGTTCAAGATGTAAGAAGTAGAAAGTACAGGTATTTGAGTTCAACATGTAAGAAGTAGAAAGTACAGGTATTTGAGTTCAACATGTAAGAAGTAGAAAGTACAGGTATTTGGGTTCAACATGTAAGAACTAGAAAGTACAGGTATTTGGGTTCAACATGTAAGAAGTAGAAAGTACAGGTATTTGAGTTCAACATGTGAGAAGTAGAAAGTACAGGTATTTGAGTTCAACATGTAAGAAGTAGAAAGTTCAGGTATTTGAGTTCAACATGTAAGAAGTAGAAAGTTCAGGTATTTGAGTTCAACATGTGAGAAGTAGAAAGTACAGGTATTTGTGTTCAACATGTGAGAAGTAGAAAGTACAGGTATTTGAGTTCAACATGTAAGAAGTAGAAAGTACAGGTATTTGAGTTCAAGATGTAAGAAGTAGAAAGTACAGGTATTTGAGTTCAACATGTAAGAAGTAGAAAGTACAGGTATTTGTGTTCAACATGTGAGAAGTAGAAAGTACAGGTATTTGAGTTCAACATGTGAGAAGTAGAAAGTACAGGTATTTGAGTTCAACATGTGAGAAGTAGAAAGTACAGGTATTTGAGTTCAACATGTAAGAAGTAGAAAGTACAGGTATTTGAGTTCAACATGTAAGAAGTAGAAAGTACAGGTATTTGAGTTCAAGATGTAAGAAGTAGAAAGTACAGGTATTTGAGTTCAACATGTAAGAAGTAGAAAGTACATGTATTTGAGTTCAACATGTAAGAAGTAGAAAGTACAGGTATTTGAGTTCAACATGTAAGAAGTAGAAAGTACAGGTCTTTGGGTTCAACATGTGAGAAGTAGAAAGTACAGGTATTTGAGTTCAACATGTAAGAAGTAGAAAGTACAGGTATTTGTGTTCAAGATGTAAGAAGTAGAAAGTACAGGTATTTGAGTTCAACATGTAAGAAGTAGAAAGTACAGGTATTTGAGTTCAAGATGTAAGAAGTAGAAAGTACAGGTATTTGAGTTCAACATGTAAGAAGTAGAAAGTACAGGTATTTGTGTTCAACATGTAAGAAGTAGAAAGTACAGGTATTTGAGTTCAACATGTAAGAAGTAGAAAGTCCAGGTATTTGAGTTCAACATGTAAGAAGTAGAAAGTTCAGGTATTTGAGTTCAACATGTAAGAAGTAGAAAGTCCAGGTATTTGAGTTCAACATGTAAGAAGTAGAAAGTACAGGTATTTGTGTTCAAGATGTAAGAAGTAGAAAGTACAGGTATTTGAGTTCAACATGTAAGAAGTAGAAAGTACAGGTATTTGAGTTCAACATGTAAGAAGTAGAAAGTACAGGTATTTGGGTTCAACATGTAAGAACTAGAAAGTACAGGTATTTGGGTTCAACATGTAAGAAGTAGAAAGTACAGGTATTTGTGTTCAACATGTAAGAAGTAGAAAGTACAGGTATTTGAGTTCAACATGTAAGAAGTAGAAAGTTCAGGTATTTGAGTTCAACATGTGAGAAGTAGAAAGTACAGGTATTTGAGTTCAACATGTAAGAAGTAGAAAGTTCAGGTATTTGAGTTCAACATGTGAGAAGTAGAAAGTACAGGTATTTGGGTTCAACATGTAAGAAGTAGAAAGTACAGGTATTTGTGTTCAACATGTGAGAAGTAGAAAGTACAGGTATTTGAGTTCAACATGTAAGAAGTAGAAAGTACAGGTATTTGTATTTGTAAAGTACTGATACCAGAAACATGTACTTAAGTACAGTAACACAGTATTTGTACTCCAATACTTCTCACCTCTGTTCATGTGATGGAGCATTAAACTCAGATATCAGTGTGACTGCAGAATGCAGGCGGAGCATTACCTGAAGTAAAAGTCCAAATACTTCATAAAAAGCTAAACTTGTGTGACAAAATCTCACTTAAATTAAAAGTATTATCGGCAACATTGAACCTAAAGTATCAAAGTACACAACATTAACATTAAAAGGTACATTATTTTCCTCTAAAGTGTGTTGAAATAGAGGTATAAGTAGGTCTCATGGTGACTACAAGCTGCAGGTGGAGCACTCATTTCATATTCTCTGATACATTGCTTCATTATTGCTGCTTTTTAAATGTTTTCGTCTCCTCCTCCTCCTCTTCCTCCTCTTCCTCCCCATGCAGTTGCAGCAGCGTGTTTCCAGGGTGCAGTTCCTTGAGTCCTCCACTGTGGGGCGCAGCATCGTCAGCAAACAGGAAGCCAGAGTGTGTGACCTGGAGAACAAACTGGAGTTTCAGAGAGGACAGGTCAAGAGGTTCGAGGTGAGGAAACACATTTCATCCTGTCTGACTCCATTCGTGAGAGGAAAAGAATATTCTATAGATAGAGAGATGGATGGATGGATAGATAGATATATATATGGATAGATGGATGGATGGTTAGATGGATAGATGGATAGATAGATAGATAGATATATATATGGATGGATGGATAGATGGATAGATAGATATATGGATAGATAGATAGATAGAGAGATGGATGGATGGATAGATAGATAGATAGATGGATAGATAGATAGATAGATAGATAGATGGATAGATAGATAGATAGAGAGATGGATGGATGGATAGATAGATAGATAGATGGATAGATAGATAGATAGATAGATAGATAGATGGATAGATAGATAGATAGATAGATCGATGGATGGATAGATAGATAGATGGATAGATAGATAGATAGATAGATAGATAGATATATGGATAGATGGATGGATAGATGGATAGATGGATAGATAGATAGATAGATGGATGGATGGATAGATAGATAGATGGATAGATAGATAGATAGATAGATAGATAGATATATGGATAGATGGATGGATAGATAGATATATGGATAGATAGATAGATAGATATATAGAGAGATGGATGGATAGATAGATAGATAGATAGATAGAGAGATGGATGGATGGATAGATAGATAGATGGATAGATAGATAGATAGAGAGAGATAGATAGATAGATAGATAGATAGATAGATAGAGAGATAGATAGATGGATAGATAGATAGATAGATGGATAGATAGATAGATAGATAGATAGATAGATATATGGATAGATGGATGGATAGATGGATAGATAGATGGATAGATAGATATATGGATAGATAGATAGATAGATATATAGAGAGATGGATGGATAGATAGATAGATAGATAGATAGAGAGATGGATGATGGATAGATAGATAGATGGATAGATAGATAGATAGAGAGATAGATAGATAGATAGATAGATAGATAGATAGAGAGATAGAGAGATATATAGATAGATAGATAGATAGATAGAGAGATAGATAGATAGAGACATAGAGATATATATATATATATATAGATAGAGAGATAGAGAGATAGAGAGATGGATACATACCATATGTTGTTTGTCATGCTTTGCTTTCTGTTATTTTGTTCATGTATGTCCGTAAGACGTTACTTTTGTCGGGACCCCTTGAAAAGGAGATGGTGGATCTCAAGGGGTTTGTCCTAATGAATACATGTCTAAGGAGTAGATTTGACTCTAAAGCTGTGTTTTTAATTGAACTGTTCAGGTGCTGGTGTTGCGTTTGAGGGACAGCGTGGTGCGTTTAGGGGAAGAACTGGAGCAGAGCGCCGAGGCCGAGGCGAGGGAACGAGAAAACGCCAAATACTACCAGCAGCGTTTGCAGGACATGAGGGTGGAGGCGGAGGATCTGGTCCAGAGAGAGCAGGGCAGCAGCCGCAGGCGCATGGAGCTGGTACACACACACACAACGTTACACTACATCACACACACACTACACAACACACACACACACTACATCACACAAACACTACACAACACACACACACTACATCACACAAACACTACACAACACACACCTGAAACCTTCACACTCATCATGGGGAAAACAGGCTGCAACATGCATGATTAACCTGTTCAACCCGGAGGCCCCCGCCCCCTTGTTTTCACAAAACTGTGTCTCAGGGCTTCTTAACATTTAAAAACCTATTAATGTGTCATACCCACTTAACGGGAAGAAACTCAGCTAACTGACGATATCAACCATTTTTACTGAAACAAAACACAAGTCTCACAAGAAGCGTCTAAATGAGCCCTGAGCGAAACAATGCTAACACACTTTGTATACCTAGAGCACAGAACTCTAGGTATAAATACCCTTATTACATATCGGATCTGCACAGACAAGATATCGATTAGCAAAATGAGATTACACAGATTATAGGGGTATTAGTATCATCACTGAGCGATCAGAACTTGCGACAGGGGAAGCAAAACCAGACATCACAACACGGAGCTTTACGGAGCAAACACGGGACATTGTCTTACCTTAGCTGGCTGTTGTTCTGATCAAAAGTCGTGTTCAATGGCATGAAAACGATAAAAACGCTGCTGAAGGTTAATCCATAGGTTAATCCATAGGTTAATCCATAGGTTAATCCATAGGTTAATCCATAGGTTAATCCACAGGTTAATCCATAGGTTAATCCATAGGTTAATCCATAGGTTAATCCATAGGTTAATCCATAGGTTAATCCACAGGTTAATCCACAGGTTAATCCACAGGTTAATCCACAGGTTAATCCATAGGTTAATCCACAGGTTAATCCACAGGTTAATCCACAGGTTAATCCATAGGTTAATCCACAGGTTAATCCACAGGTTAATCCATAGGTTAATCCACAGGTTAATCCACAGGTTAATCCATAGGTTAATCCACAGGTTAACCCACAGGTTAATCCACAGGTTAATCCACAGGTTTATCCACAGGTTAATCCACTGGTTAATCCACAGGTTAATCCACAGGTTAATCCATAGGTTAATCCATAGGTTAATCCACAGGTTAATCCACAGGTTAATCCACAGGTTAATCCATAGGTTAATCCACAGGTTAATCCACAGGTTAATCCACTGGTTAATCCACAGGTTAATCCACAGGTTAATCCATAGGTTAATCCACAGGTTAATCCACAGGTTAATCCACTGGTTAATCCACAGGTTAATCCACAGGTTAATCCACAGGTTAATCCACAGGTTAATCCACAGGTTAATCCATAGGTTAATCCATAGGTTAATCCACAGGTTAATCCACAGGTTAATCCACAGGTTAATCCCACAGGTTAATCCACAGGTTAATCCACAGGTTAATCCACAGGTTTATCCACAGGTTAATCCACTGGTTAATCCACAGGTTAATCCACAGGTTAATCCACAGGTTAATCCACAGGTTAATCCATAGGTTAATCCATAGGTTAATCCACAGGTTAATCCACAGGTTAATCCACAGGTTAATCCACAGGTTAATCCACAGGTTAATCCACTGGTTAATCCACAGGTTAATCCATAGGTTAATCCACAGGTTAATCCACAGGTTAATCCACAGGTTAATCCACAGGTTAAATTCATTCCATAGGTAATCCATAGGTTAATCCACCGGTTAATCCATAGGTTAATCCACAGGTTAATCCACAGGTTAATCCACAGGTTAATCCACAGGTTAATCCACAGGTTTAATCCCACAGGTTAATCCACAGGTTAATCCACAGGTTAATCCATAGGTTAATCCACAGGTTAATCCATAGGTTAATCCACAGGTTAATCCATAGGTTAATCCACAGGTTAATCCACAGGTTAATCCACAGGTTAATCCACAGGTTAATCCACAGGTTAACCCACAGGTTAATCCACAGGTTAATCCATAGGTTAATCCACAGGTTAATCCATAGGTTAATCCACAGGTTAATCCACAGGTTAATCCATAGGTTAATCCACAGGTTAATCCACAGGTTAATCCACAGGTTAATCCATAGGTTAATCCACTGGTTAATCCATAGGTTAATCCATAGGTTAATCCACAGGTTAATCCACAGTTTAATCCACTGGTTAATCCACAGGTTAATCCATAGGTTAATCCACAGGTTAATCCACAGGTTAATCCACAGGTTAATCCATAGGTTAATCCACAGGTTAATCCATAGGTTAATCCACAGGTTAATCCATAGGTTAATCCACAGGTTAATCCACAGGTTAATCCCAGGTTTAATCCACAGGTTAATCCACAGGTTAACCCACAGGTTAATCCACAGGTTAATCCATAGGTTTAATCCACAGGTTTAATCCACAGGTTAATCCACAGGTTAATCCACAGGTTAATCCACAGGTTAATCCACTGGTTAATCCACAGGTTAATCCACAGGTTAATCCACAGGTTAATCCACAGGTTAATCCACAGGTTAATCCACAGGTTAATCCACAGGTTAATCCACTGGTTAATCCACAGGTTAATCCACAGGTTAATCCACAGGTTAATCCACAGGTTAATCCACAGGTTAATCCACAGGTTAATCCACAGGTTAATCCACAGGTTAATCCACAGGTTAATCCACAGGTTAATCCACAGGTTAATCCACAGGTTAATCCCACAGTTAATCCACTGGTTAATCCACAGGTTAATCACTACAGGTGGGTTAATCCACAGGTTAATCCACAGGTTTAATCCATAGGTTAATCCACAAGGTTTAATCCACAGGTTAATCCCACAGGTTAATCCACAGGTGGTTAACCCACCAGGGTTAATCCACAGGTTAATCCACTGGTTAATCCACAGGTTAATCCACTGGTTAATCCACAGGTTAATCCATAGGTTAATCCACAGGTTAATCCACAGGTTAATCCACAGGTTAATCCATAGGTTAATCCACAGGTTAATCCACTGGTTAATCCACAGGTTAATCCACTGGTTAATCCACAGGTTAATCCATAGGTTAATCCACAGGTTAATCCACAGGTTAATCCACTGGTTAATCCACAGGTTAATCCATAGGTTAATCCACAGGTTAATCCACAGGTTAATCCATAGGTTAATCCACAGGTTAATCCATAGGTTAATCCATAGGTTAATCCACAGGTTAATCCACAGGTTAATCCACAGGTTAATCCACAGGTTAATCCACAGGTTAATCCACAGGTTAATCCACAGGTTAATCCACAGGTTAATCCATAGGTTAATCCATAGGTTAATCCACAGGTTAATCCACAGGTTAATCCACAGGTTAATCCACAGGTTAATCCACAGGTTAATCCACAGGTTAATCCACAGGTTAATCCACTGGTTAATCCACAGGTTAATCCACAGGTTAATCCACAGGTTAATCCACAGGTTAATCCACAGGTTAATCCACTGGTTAATCCACAGGTTAATCCAATGTGTCTGAAATGATTACTGATAATCCATCTTCATATTTATGTCAATAACGGAGATTTCATATTAGCTGCTACGAGAGTGACAGCTTCCGGTTTTGGGCATTCTGGCTACGCATCACTCATTGACCAATGGGTAATGTTTAGATGGATTTTAGGAACCTCCCCTCGATTCTATTGGCTCTAACGGTTAGAAAGAGATGTCAATCATCAAAATCGACCGGTGGGGGCCAGAGATATGGAAAATGCACCCAAATGACCCCAGAGGTGTTTTTTTTTCTTTCGAAATCTCTCTAAAAAGGTCAAAGGTCACTTGTTTTGCATCAATCTTGATACAGGGTACTTATTATATGTTATAGTTTGGATTCCTAAAGCTTTTAGTCTACCTTACCATCATTCAAGGGTGGTTTTCACTATAAATCATGGTTTCTTTTGGACGGACACAATAATTTACATTTATTTACTGTGTTCAATCTGAATTTACTTTAAAATAAAAACATCTATATTGATTCTGACTCCTCTACATCCAACTCACAGGTGTAACCTTGCTTTGAGAAAAAGGATTATCACTGTAACCTTTTTAGAAGAGAAGGTATGGTCATTTGTTCTGGGAATGGCACTTTGGAGCCTGAGACCTGAAAAACAGGCTTAACAGGTTAACTAAATGATTAACTCAAACACTTTAGAAATCTGGATCCCTCTTGCTGGAGGGAAAGACAAGATACTGTCATTTAAACAACTTTTAGTTTAAGTTGAATAAATGCGTGAATAGCATCAGAAAAATACCTTTGCAGAGAACATGAGGAGAAGATTGAAACCACTATGTATGAATGCAAATATAGAAGTGTGGTTAGCTTAGCTTAGCTTAGCACAAACACTGGAAACAGATGGAACAGTTAGCATGGTCTTTGCACAGAGATAGAGATCATTGTTGGGAGATTTCTGCAGACATCACCTCGTCCTCCTGATAAATATAAACCCTGCAGGCAGTGCTGCATCACATCAGGCTGTGAGACGGTTTACATATCAACGTGTGTGTGTGTGTGTGTGCATTAAAGAGCACACACACACTTCCTCCAGGCTGTGAGCGAACAACAGCTGCTGCGTTATCTGCAACATTACCAAACATCACTTCCACTCCTGCACATGTTTGATCAGAGACACAGGCCGTCTGCACACGTTACACACTGTAATACCTTCAAAACGTCTTCTCTGAGACGCCGAGCTGTTTGAGAAGCTTATTGCAGAAATCACGTTTAAGTTCAACAGGATTTGGTCAGAAAATAGACTGTAAAGATCCACTCTGTAAATGAGCTGATGAGCGCCTAGATTCAAACATACATATGTACCTTTAATAAATGTGATATGATCTTCTTTCAATGCTAACTTTGGTATCACTAAGGTCAGTTATGGGTCATGAATGTCGCGTTTATGTTTAATTAATAGACAATCAGTACATTCAATGAAATATATGTGAACTCTAAGAAGGCACAGCTTTAACTGTATCATTTGAGCCTCATATTGATGCTTCTTTTG